TCCACATTCCTTATATTCACAACATCTTCCCCAATCAGTGCCTTCTTAAAGATGAATGCCATGTAGGGACGCCTGGGTGGCTCAGTGGGTTAAAGCCTCTGCCTTCAGCTAGGGTCATGATCCCAGGGTTCTGGGATCGAGTCCCAAATCGGGCTCTCTGCTCGGAGGGGAGCCTGCTCCCCCCCCACCCCCGCCTGCCTCTCTGCCTACTTGTGATCTCTGTCAAATAAATAAATAAAATCTTAAAAAAAAAAAAAAAGATGAATGCCATGTCTTAACTGCTTATTACTCAGTGTCCCTTCTACTTCAGCCAATGTCTGTGCTGGCATTTTTGCTGTCACGGAGAGCTGCAGAGCCACACAAAATGAGTTGCCTCAGAAAGGTGAGCTTTCCACTTAAACCCCGTTCCCTGCATTGGAAGAGGTACCACTACACCAGTGATGGCAGAGACCACTGCTGGAGATGATGGTCTCATCTTACAGTAAATAAAGCATGCCATTCCAAACACCTATGATTCCCAAGTTTTTATGCCTCGCCGGGACTCCTTCTGAAGTCCAGAGAAGGGCATTCCACTGGCTTCACAAACCTCTACTTGGAGGTCTCCAAGTCCCTTCTCATTCACACTTCATTAACAGAACCAGTCAGGACATAGGACAGTTCCACAAACTTGAATCTAGGTGAACGCTGTAGGGGAGTTCTTTGTACCATTCATATTACTCTCTTTAAAATTGCCTCAACAAAGAAAAAACAAAACAAAGCCTTTATTTCTACCCTTCAGAAGTTTATGCTTTACCAGTTTTCCTCATGTCACTGACTAAAACCAAATATTCAGGAAGAGTAATTTTTCTCCTTTTTAAGTTAGATGGTGATACATACAAAGAGTGTATATGGTAAACGCATACATTACAAATAGTCATAGGAAATCCCTGAAGCTTTCACCTCTGAAGGATTCTTGGCAGCTTCCTTTCCTTTGGCCACTACTCACCTGGCCCCAGTGAATCCACTTATGAACTGGGAGAAGGCCATGCAGGCTTATCCCCAGCCCCTCTGCTATTCTCAGGCCAGGAGTCATCACCTCTTCCCTAGATGCTACCTACCACGGCTCCCTGGCGGGCTTTCATCTATGCCCTGCTACAGTTCCTTCTTCATAACCACCTGAAGCGTGCTTGAAAAGCCACATCACACACCTGCCTGATAACAATCAAAACTCTACTCATAGTGGAAGCCCTGTGTGCGTTGCCAAACCTAGCTTGCTTGTCAGTATACCTCAGCTACCTCCTCCCAGCCCACTTAGTGGCTGTTTCCTGAGTGTGCCAAGCTTACGCCATTCTCATGGTCACCCCAGATACGGTCTCTGTACCTGGAAGCTCTCTTTACCACCACTCACATGTCTGTAGAGTTCTTTTTCTTTGGGAACTGGCTTAAAATTTCACTCCTGCAGTGCCCCCCCAACCACCTCCTCTAGCGTAGTAATTCCCCATGACCCCCACATCACATTCTTTTTCTTCTCAGTCCTTCCACTACTTATCTGTTCAGAGTTGCATCTGGGGAACTTGTTTGTAGAGGCCATAATCCATCAGACTACAAAGTCCAGCATGGCAAGGCTTATGTTATCTCTGGTTCCCTACCAAAGTGGTTAGTGTACTACGTAAGACCCAAGAGAACTTCCACAGTATTTGTGAGGTGTAACCAGGACAGGCAGTGGAGGGAAAACAAGCAAAGGACTCTTTGTGACAAAGCACAAAACACCTATTACCTCAGGCACAGTCTGTAATAAAGTGTCCTGGTAAGCCTCCCTGTACATGGTCTCTTGCTCTGGGATATCACCTCAGAATCTCCTGTCACCTGTTAAGCCAGTCCTCTCAAGATGTGCCCCAAATCCCTCAGGAAGCGAGATTAGAGGAACTACTAGATCATCCAGAAGTCCAAAGCTGAAAGGTTTGCCAACAAAGGACTTGAGTTCCAGGGAGGATGAGACACAGACCTGCACAACCAGAGCCACCACCCAGGAAGGGGCTGTGGAAGGCCAGAGCAAGGGGAACAACTAGGAAAGACACCACAGTGGGTGGATACAAAGTGCCTGTGTTGCTGGGAACCTTCCAAGTGAGGTATAGTCTAGTGACCTGTGCTCATGGCTGGAATTCATAGGGAATGAAAGGAATGACTCTGATTATGGAAAAGAAAAAAACACTAATGCTGAGCCATCAAACTGAGTCCAGGAGAGGAAGGGCAGAGAGTCACAAGAGATGCCAGTCTGTGTTGTGGCAAACAGAAAATCATCACCAAAGATGGGGACCAGGTGCAGATTTCATAGGTGAACACAGCTAGAATCTGGTAGTTCTAATAACACTTGCATTAGAACACACAGAACAAAGGGAAGGGAGAGCATCCCAAGTTTTCTTTACAAAATCAGCACATCCCCATATAAAAGTTGACTAAGAAAAACCACAAGAAAGAAATCCACCCACCTCCCCCACCTAATTTATGAATACTGATGTGTCAGTGGATGTCAGCATCATGTTACAACAAAGGCACTTCTATTTTTATTAGGTCACTGTGTTAATTGTTCAAAGGAGAAAATCACTATGATCACCATGGAAGGCTATGAGGGAAAACTGGGGCTATTGCTATCATTTATCAGAAAGGACTAAATGACTATTTCTTTATCCAGATATAACTGATTTAAATTAAAGCAGAGTCCAGCACATGCTCATCAAAGCTGAGAAACTTTCCTATTTAGGTCAGACATTCACTCTTCACCCTCTCAGCTTCAGTGTTTTAGAAGTACCAGCTGTGATGAAATGTCATTATGTAATTGGGCAAAAGAAGTAAAAAAACAAAACACTAATACAGTTGCCTCTTCCTTTATACTTGCTGATAAAATGACTCTACTGAGAAAATCAGTAAGAAACTAGTAAGACAACTAGTAATAGAAGTTAGCAGCATGCCAGGCTCATCTGGATCAACTACGTGATATTGCAAAGGAAGACTAACATGAGCAGATCGACAGCAACCACACAGAAAGCCCAACAGCACTCAGAAGGCCTGACATAGCACGGTGAGGAGAGCAGATCTCTTTGTATACTTGTGTCAAATTTTTTTTTTTTTTAAGATTTTTCATTTATTTATTTGAGAGAGAGAGATAGAGAGAGAGATAGAGAAATCATGAGAGAGGAGAAGGTCAGAGGGAGAAGCAGGCTCCCCACAGAGCTGGGAGCCCCATGCAGGACTCGATCCCAGGACTCTGGGATCATGACCCAAGCCAAAGGCAGTAGTTTAACCAACTGAGACACCCAGGCACCCTACTTGTGTCAAATCTTGACTAGACAGACCAATTCTGCCTCAAGGAATTCTAAATCCAATCATTCTAACAGGATTTTCTCAATGAATCCCTGACAAGCTGATGCTAAGTGTTCATATGGTAAACCATGTGGTTGAGAACAACAAAGAATTTTTTTAAAAAATGAGAGGAGCTCCCATTTATCCAAGTTTGTTATAAAACTACCATCCATACAGCAAAAAAGTATTTACTCAGACTGAGATGAAGAACACAGAAGGGACCAAGACAGAGGCCTGCTACCCGTGAGGACTGTGGGAAGTTACATCTATGATAAAGAAGGTGTTTCTGATAAGTGGAAGAATCTAGTCAGAAAATGTGCTGACAGAACTTACGCTCCATGCCTTATACATAAAGAAACTCCATGTAAGTGCAGCCATTAAACAAAAACCAATACTGAAACACAAGAAAGTATTTATAAAATCTTCCTTTCTGTGTTATGAATAGGAATAAAAAGAGATTTGAAAGGAAAAATACCTGAATCATAAAACTTCTTTATGGAGACTAAATTTAAATTTAAAGGTAGTGATAAATGTTTGTCTGGGATATTTGTATTACTAATGCCCATAATTAAGAGTTCCCAACAAAATACTGTACCCCAAAAAACAAAAATCAACAGAAAAAAAGGGGGAGTAAAGTATATAACTCACAAAAGAAAAAATATAAATGGTCTATAAACTTGTAAAAATACTTCATGAGGGATGGGGTGCCTGGGTGGCTCAGTGGGTTAAGCCTCTGCCTTCGGGTCAGATCATGATCTTGGGGTCCTGGAATCAAGCCCCACATCGGGCTCTCTGCTTGGTGGGGAGTCTGCTTCCCCCTCTCTCTGCCTGCCTCGCTGCCTGCTTGTGATCTCTGTCTGTCAAATAAGTAAATAAATAAACAAATCTTAAAAAAAAACAAACCAAACCTTCATGAGGGAAATGTGAACTAAACTGAACATACTATCAGATTTGAAAACCTTAAGAAGATTATTCTAAATTTCTGGCAATGAACAGGAAAAGGTCTCACGTAATTGAGGAGCTCCAGGCATTTTAAAGGATTTTAGACAGCAATCTGTTGCTACCAGATTTTTAGCTTCTACTTGGTTGATTCCGAAGTTCTATCTCACAAATCCTACCTACAAAAAAACCCACACACACAAAAAAACTTGAAAGTGCAAAAAAATGTATGCAACGAAGTTTTCTTTTTTCTTTCTTTTTTTTTTTTTTGCAACGAAGTTTTCTGCCAACAACTTGAAAGATTATCAAGAGGAAAAAATCAAATATGGACCACAAAGTATGTTAAAATAAATGAAACAGGCCTGTTTGTATCCAGTATAACTCCCCCAAGTCATAAACATACGTTCATATACCTACCTGCAAAGATCTATAAAGAAAAAGTCTGGAAAGACACACCAGTTACTGGTGATTACATGAAAGAACAGTAGAACAGATGGAGCCCCTAGGGCCAACATGCCACTGGCAGCAAGTTCACGTTCAACCAAGTGGGACACCCCTGACTCTTGAGACCAGAGGAAAACAGTTTGATTCAGCTTGTCTGCAGCTACTCCTCATACCACCCCATCTGGGTTTTCTCCTGTCCATCTTCTTCTCTCAGACACCAGTCCCTGACTAACCAGTCAGCCCATTCCCTACCAGGACTCTGTGAGCCTGGTTCTCACCTGAAAAGGTGTCTTGAGGAATTCCTCTCTCCACCGACCAGAGCGCTTCCTCCTCCTCTAACTGAGATACCACATCTGGCTTGGAAAGCTGATGTTCTGCCCAAGGGAAAAGAGACAGGGCTTGGGGGTCTGTGTTCAGGAGAAAATGCGTTTGTGCTGCGGCACATGCTGTCCCTGAATTCTTCCCTCCAAGGGCATGACTTCTGGTCTACCGTGGTGATGATAACCCAATCCATTCCCTTTTTTAGCTACATGCCTTCCTGGACTCCCTTGCCACTAAAAGAAGCAATGGGACCCACTTCTGGCTGGCAAGATACAAAGAAAACAAGTCAGCTGGGGACCTTAAGGCTTTTTTCTCCCTTGCTAAATATGGAAGTGGGAAAAGAGAACTAATCAGGGCTGCCCCCTCCCCTTCTTTCCGCCCTGAATATGAACATGATGCTGGGTGCCATAGCCATGCAGTCACTAACCTAAGAGTGGAAAAGTACACACCACAAAGAAATGGAAGCAATCAGTCTCCAGTGATACTCCTGAACTGCTGGAACACTTGACCCCACATCCTATGGAATTCCTGTTACATAAATGAGCATCCATTACAGTCAGCTACATCCCTGACAGACCTACCTCCCTAGCGTTCAAAACCTCTGAGGGACAGACTAGGTGGCTTCAGAAGTCATATGTGAAGTTGCCCTCTCCCTGCAGGTACAAATTAAAGCCTTCTCCCTCAGGCCCCAGGGCCTTGACAACTGCACGCTCCTCCCTGCAACCTGAGCCCAAGCAGACACACACTTCAGAGGCACCACATTCGAGCTGCAAAGCGCATATTTTTATTGACATGGAGACCATCCTTACCCACTGAGACCAGGTTCCTGTAGTTCTCCAGCATCACCTCCCTGTACAGGGACTTCTGTTCGAGGTCCAGCAGTCCCCATTCCTCTGAAGTAAAACCGAGGGTCACATCTTCAAAGGCCACTGGTTCCTAAAACCCACAGGTTTCTGTTCAGCCACGGTGTGTCGTCACCTACACTGACATGAGGGGGAAGGCTGACCCAGCACGTGAGGGCACAGTCTACAAGGTGACCTGCACGCATTCCAGGTGGCTCAAGTGTTCCTGCAATTGTCTGAAACTGAGCAAACGCAAGCTTGACCCTGTTCAGGTCACGGCAAGGAGGACAGCATGTGAGTTCAGAGAGGGCTCTTCTTTCTCTGGACCTCTCCATTTTTCATTAACTCGGGGATTCCGATACTGGCATTAGCGTCTATACCCCCTAGCAGGGAATTCTGAGAGCGGAATCATCACACCCAAGCCTTCAGCCCCCACCCACTGCCTGTGCTGCCTCTCTACTTCCTTCACAGTCAAGGATCCATCCTCCTGTTTTCCCTTAATCCCCTCTAGCTTAGACGCCAAAGTACTACTGAAATAAAAATGTGAGTTTAATCCATGTTTAAACCTACTCATGCCTACCCACAATAGAAAGGATAAATCAGAATCCCCCAGACCCTAACCCGTACTCTAACCATTTTCTGGGTAAGTTAAGAAACCTTTGGTTCATCCGTTCAGCTGCGTCTCATTCCCGGCCAGTCTCTCAACCCTCCCCAAGATGCTCTGGGGCCTGACGTTACCTCAGGAAGGTGGCATCCCACTACCATCCGACCGCCCCCACACCCAGATCCAGGGGTAGACTGAGAAACTCTACTCACACGGAGCCAGGCCGTCGGAAGCCCGGAGGCCATACCTTCCTTCTCGACGTATCTCGTGGGAGTGGGCAGTTCTGAGGAGGTCGAATTTGGGAGGTAGAAGGGGTATGAGGGCTACGCAGAGGAGTGGCCCCTCCTTTGCCCAGTAGCAGTCCTATCAACGTGAAATGATAACCCCAACCTAGAAAAACGCCCTGAAAGGGTCGTCTCCACCTACTCCCCGACACCTAGAGGGCCCGTTTCCCCTAGTCGAGAGGAGACCCTCCTCATACCTTCCCACCCAAAGGGAGTTACTCCCTTCCCAATCCGCACACCGCTCGGTGCGGGTCGGGCCGCCCTGACCCCACGCCTGCAGAGTTGGCTTTCCTCAGGGCCCCGAGTCCCCAACCACACCGCCCCTTCCGGCCCCGCGGCGGGAAGACGGCAGGCAAAGTCGGCCTCCGGCTGCTGAGCTTGGCTGGTAATGGACTGAGGCTGCACACCCCGAGGAGTGGCTCTGGGACCTTTCCGCACAGCCCCGACGGGAGATTTCGCGCCACACTCACCCAGCGCGCCGCGCACAATGGCGACCGTCGGCCTGCGGCGAAATGCGTCAGCCTGGACTACAACTCCCAGCCACCCCTGCGGCGTGCCCGCCCGACCTCGCCCAGGTGGCGGCCATCTTGGCCGGCCATCTCGGATAGCAGGCGAAGCGCGGGCCGCCGGGTGGAGGGCCCTCGCCGGCGACCCTCGGTGGGCCAGCTGGATTGGGGGATGGCTCGAGTTGGGTACGCCAAGCTGCGGGGCCTCAACAATTTTCCAAGTAACAGGGCAGGCCAGGACAGAGTCGTGCTCCGCCACGAGGGCGACCACTCGTGGGATGAACCGGAAGTTGGGAAGGGAAGGAGCGCGCAGGGGATGGGCCGGAAGTTAATTAAAGTTGGGTTGAGGGGGTGGTTGGCGGATTACTACGTCCCTGCGCGGAGGAGGAAGAGCGGGCAGGGAGGGAAGCGCAGAGGGCTGGGGCAAACTGCTACTCCTACCCAATGTGGAGGAAGGAGGGGTGGGAGCAGGGCGGGCCGGAAGCGCGTAGGGGGCGGAGCTAACGTCCAGCCACGATTGGGGGACGGGGAGGGACAGGCGAGTGACGTGGGAGGGCGGAGTAAAGTCCACCCAAGTTCAGGGAAGAGGCTGTGAGACGACTGACGGAAGTGAGTGGGGCGGCGCCGAATGTGGATCCTGGTCTAGGGTGCCACAAGGAAGAAGGGGCGGGAGGGGGAGGGCAGAAGTGTGCCGGAGGCGGCTCTAAGGTCACCCGTGCGTTCTGAGAGTAAAGGCGGGTAGCACCTGCCCAGAACGTGCACCTGGCGGGGTTCTGTGCCCTCCATGGGATGGGGAGGAGAAGCACGCATAAATGTCCGCTCAAGCTGTGGGGAGGACAGGGTTAATTGTGTCCTAAAGACAGGTGTGGGGGTAGGTTCTCAAAACCAGAGCTAGACAGACGTTAAAACAGTGGAAATAGATTTTATTTACAAAAATGCCACAGGGAAGTAGACACTGCAGTATGGACCTGGGCTCCGTACTGAATACAACTAGATCGAGTGGGACCTCATAGCTAAGAAGCAGTTGGAGTGTGTGAGGGTGCGGTGGGGGTTGTTGGGTGATGGAAAATGACAGTCTGGGGGCTGCTGGCTGAAGCAACCCAATAAGATTCTCGCTGAAGGCAGGTGGGGGTGATCAGATGCCAGCTGAGGGCAACAGTGGGGATGAGAAGTTTGATCGGATTCGAAGGTAGAGAAGTCTTGTTAAACTGACTTAGCAGGATTTTTGCTAAAACTAGGTCCTAGGAGGAGGCACGTGGATGGGCCTTGCCTGTTAGGGAGCGCGTTCAGGGGAGCCTGACTAATGCGTGGGTAAGCAAGGAATCTTTGTCAGGGAGGAGGAGTGAGGTGGGTAAGGTCCTCCGTACAGCCTCCTCCTCTGTGAGCGGGGTGCCTGTGTCAGGAAATGAGGGGTCTGCTGCTGCGCAGGATCTGATGTGTGCTCAGTGTGGGCCCAGTGTGTTCTCGTCTTCCTTGGGAGCCAAGGACCAGATAGTCTCTTATCTTCCTTAGAGTCCAGTATCTGGTGTTCATGCATCTTCCTTAGGTCCCAGGGCCTACTGTGGTCTTGTCTTACTCAGGAACCAGGCGCTGATGTTCTTGGGGCTCTCCTATCATTCTTGGGCCCAGGACCTGATGTACTGTCCCCTTGGAGTTTCCTAGCAGATTTGAGCAGCCCTGTGCATCCCTTCGGGTCATCCTGCCCGCTGTCTACCACACTTGTTCTTGGAGCTGTTAATTTTTACGGTCACTGTGGAGAGCAGCCACCTGCAGGCTGCTCATTGTTCATCTTATTTGTTGCAATTAAACGGTCTTGATTTTGATTAGTATTTACTCAGAGACCATACAGACGTTTTTCATTTTAACAGTATTTCCTTGGATTTTTTTGTGGCTACTGTAGATAAAACACCATCCCCATTCCATAGGTAATTTGGCTTCTTCCCTTTCCATATTTTGACTTTAAAAATTGATGTTGTATAGCCCTAGGTAGTGCAACAGAACCACATTAATTAGTCATGTTATTATTGCTTTATTTTGGATGTGACTAGGGATGCTTGTAGTGGTTCACCAACAAGTTTGATGGTGAACTTTAACAATGTCCATATGCCAGGCTCGATCCCAGGACCCCCAGATCATGACCTGAGCCAAAGGCAGACCCTTAATGACTGAGCCACCCAGGCACCCCATGTTAGAGCATTTCTGAACAAATGTTAACTATTATGCATGTAATATATCAAAAATGTTATGCATCCTGTTTGCACACAGGGCCCCAATCCTGCATTCAAACCTTCAGGGCCAGAACTAGTTTGGAACCCACAAGGGTTTTAGCAGAGTGGTAGGGTGCATTCACCACACAGTACGTAACAAGCTGAGCAGGTCTGAGGCAACATCTGGCTTTATATACATACAGCTGTAGCAAAATACATGAAGAGTCACACTAGGCTGGAGAAAGACAATGTGTACGTACCCTGGTTATTTCTGATAAATTTGGCAGATACATGATAGAGGAAGAAACTTGATTTGGGATTTTAGAACTGCGGAAAGGGCATTTGGATCATGTAAAAATGGCTGGATTAGCAATAATACTTGTTTCATTCCATCCCAAAGTTTAATTTGTACTTTTCCTCTCTTCATATACCCCATATAGTCAAAGACATATTTATTGAGATACAGAATTATTGAAATATATTAGCATTCTTCCTTATGCTTCCTTGGTATTCTACCGATTTAATTTAAACAACATATGACTAAGAATAAGAGATATAGAACTGTATATTGGCCAAATCTCTATGGCAGCTGGTGGCATTCAGTTGAGTCTTAAACCTGCCATGAGACTCAGTCATGGACCCAATTTGATCTCCACTCACCATTCTTTTTTCTTTTTTCATCACACAGAGCATCTCAGATTGTTTCATGCAAGGGGAACACATGTTTAAAAGTCACTTAAAAAAAAGAAGAAACACAGGCCTCTAGGCCACTTCTCAGAATTCCTCAGACCTTTAAAACTTAAGGTTGGAGAAGCAGGAATAAATTAGCATTTTACCTATAAATTATTACTATGTAAATAGTAATACTATATAAATAAATGTACATAAAATATCTGGGATTAATTTGTTGGGAAATGCAGGGGACCTACAGGAAAATAAGTTTCTGGAAAGAGTTACAAGTAAACTTACATTTTAAAAAATGCTTATCATATTCCAGGATGGGAAGTCCAATTATAAATCCCAGATGATCACTAGGTTCAATTCAAGAGGAAACAGGATTATAGCAGGGCCTGTTGGGATCCTGGACCTTGGACTTTACTCTGTATTTCCTTCTTCCTCAAAATGTGAGGGAAGGAACTGACTAGTTCTTCACAAGAACAATCAAGGTTGGTGTAATTAGGTAGTGCAGTCAGTTAAGCATCCGACTCTTGGTTTCTGCTCGGGTCATGATCTCAGGGTCATGGATCTCTGCATGGAGTCCTGAATTGGGCTCCATGCTCAGAGTGGAGTCTGCTTAATTCTCCCTTTCCCTCCCCACCCACTCTCTTTCTCAAATAAATAAATCTTGAAAAAAAAATAGAAAAATCAAGATGGATTCAAACTCATCTTAAGGAGAAATGGTCCCAGAAACTACTACTTCAAAAATGTCCCTTGTGTGGCACGGGTGGCCACTCAAGGGTGGCTCGGTGGGTTAAAACCTCTATCTTTGGCTTGGGTTGTGGTCCTGAGTTCCTGGGATTGGGCCCTTGCATAGGGCTCTCTGCTTAGCGGGGAGCCTGCTTCCCCCCTCTCTCTCTGCCTGCCTCTCTGCCTACTTGTGATTTCTCTGTCAAATAAATAAATAAAATCTTTAAAAAAAATAAAATTTAAAAAGTCCCTTGGTTTTTTGCCAATAAATTTTTTTTTTCAGGATTTTTAATTTATTTATTTGACAGGCAGAGATCACATGTAGGCAGAGAGGCAGGCAGAGAAAGAGAGGTGGAAGCAGGCTCCCTACTGAGCAGAGAGCCCGATGCGGGGCTCGATTCCAGGATCCTGGGATCATGACCTGATCCGAAGGCAGAGGCTTTAACCCACTGAGCCACCCAGGTGCCCCATCACAGAACATTTTTTTTTTTTAAGATTTTATTTATTTATTTGACAGACAGAGATCACAAGTAGGCAGAGAGGCAGGCAGAGAGAGAGAGAGGGGGAAGAAGGCTC